AATTTTTGTTATTATGAAACCCTGGTAATGATAAACATACTTTGAATGATGTGCTCTTAAGTACCCTCTCCGGAGGACAATTATTGCACACTAATTCAACCACTTTTGAGGGTCCAGCCACTGACATTCATAGTTATGTATTCATTCGACCAAATTTTTAATCCACGTATTAATTACATTACATAATCAAAATTTACATTAAATCAATTTGTTTTAAAAATCCCAGTATAAAATGACAACTAATATCAGTTAAATGATCCTTCAATGAGGTGTTTAATCTAACCGTGATATACATAATGTACATTATTTACAATTATATTGCACGTTTATCAGGTTTAATGGAATGCGGGGAATCTAATAGGTTGCTGAAAATGACTGTTATTTCGAAACTATAACTGTGACAGATTTACGCAGACTTTCACCCTGTTTGACGTATGGGTTCGCCGTCGTGATCAGGACACAAAGTAGCCTTAGGTGTGATAGTGCTAACATATATTGATGGTATCAATTTCAAACTGCAATGGTTGGTCTTGCAACTACAATCGAATAGACCATAACATTTAAATTAACATATCCAGATAAATTTGTCAATCGTCAACACTCATTTCACCCAAAAAGCCAGTTTTAAAACATGGACTGAATGTCACAGAGTACATTGCGTAAGCCAATTGAACTATTATACATTATATATGCAATTATATTTAGACATGGCATTACAAAAGGGCAAAATGAGCCTGAAGATATTAATATATTCTATATCCACGCTATGCATTTGCTTTGTGCTTACGAAAATTCAGGATTGGGGTATGTAACACACACATGCACACGCACGTACGCACTCCCCTCAGACACACACACACACACTCACATACACACAGGCTCACACAGATACAAACTGGATGAAAACAGTGTGATACCAACAGAAGAACAAACGCACGCACAGACAAAGACAGACAGGCAGACAGGCAGATATAATATAAAGAAACCTACATAGGGACACACACAGTCACACACACGTGCATACACAGATGCATACTTACAGATACCCACATTAGGACACACAAATACACACACGCACGCATGCATACGCATACACAGACACAAACATGCACTGCCCATTGAACTAAGCAGAAGTGATCGATCACGAAAACATATTCAATATAAATACAAATCATCTCCATACTTCAAACATACTTTCAGGGAGGCTGTCCATGTCTGTAAGAAAGCACATCCTCAGGCATGAGTCCAGATTGCGTGAGAGGTTAATTATGTCTGGACTGACATCCTCCTGCCTCAGGCTGCGAGGAGCTATATATACTATTACGTGGGTTAAGGAATATTTACATCATCGTGGAAACATTAATACAAATCCCTTTTTATGCCATTTTTTTGTATTTAGTATTTATTGTGTTTATGATGACATGCCATCGACATGATAATCAATAGTCACAACGCCCTATACTGCATGCCGATTGTTCTGAAGTTGGCTTTGTCACATTGTCATGAACGTTTGTTTGTTTGATTGTTTAATGCTGCAATTTTTCAGCTATATGACTGCGGTCTAAGAATTATCGAGTTTGGGCCAAATGAACCAATGATTGATATCAATAAGCATCGATCTACGCAAACAGGTATTACTATGATATGCATAATACAGGTCAGTAAGCCTGACCACCCTATCCCGTTAGTCGCCTCTTTCGATAAGAATGGGTTGCTGAAGACCAATTCCCCAATTAACAATTTTATGTTGTCACAACGTTGTGCTTTCGATGTTACAACGTTATCCTGTGGACTCCCATTTACGTTGTCACAACGTTGTGGCCTGACGTTGTGATACGTCATTTTTACGTCGCCACAAGGCAAAGTTCTTTGATGCTAACGTATTTTAGGTTGTCTTAACGTTCTATTTAACGTTAATAGTTGAATAGTTTTCCCAGTAGTGAACAGTACTTAAGAAACAAAGCAGATATTCACTTCAATGTTTATTCGTCAATTTACATGTTATTTTGGTCGTGTGTTTTCTGAAGCTGCAGCTGAAGAGTGAAGAAAGAATCTCAAAATGAAAAACTTTACAGAAAACTCTTTGACACCAAGTTATAAGAAACGTTGTTATAACGTTGTGAGGAGCCCAAAGCATAACGTTTCCTCAACGTAAATTTGCAACGTTGTTATTACGTTGTGACATAACGCTGTAAAATGACGTAATACTAACGTTGTGTCATATCGTTACCAATCTACAACCTTCCCACAACGTTGAGTGTTAGCTGTGTTAAACCAGGACCTTCACGGGTGTCATGAACGTATAGCTTTTCTTCAAGACGTTTATACGCGTCATGGCACCTAGCGGTGGGGAACCATCAGATCAAGCTCATTACACTTGACTAGTTAGTCCCGTAGATAGATATAGGAAGCATACAAGCCATGGCAAATTCATTTGCTGTAAGTGTTGAATGTAGAGTGATAAAACGACAATGTAGCTTCCTCAGATACACAAGGCAACTACGGTTTTCTGCTCAGGTAAAATGTATTGGGTTTACGACCTGAGTAAGGACTGTTGTAGTCGAAATAACAAAACTACCTGAGAGTTGGTTGCGATATCAAAGTGAAACCGAACTATCCCTCTGGCATTGAAGTTGAAAGGACCAAAAGGTCACACAAAGTGCATACGACGTCAACATAAAGTATACAAAGAGAACGTGTGACCAAAGCCGTTTGATAATGGCAGCTTTTATCGTCGAAGTCGTACATGCACAAAAGTTTAGACGAGAAGGCAATATCCACGTAAACGCTTTCAGAATCGCATCTATTAGAAGAGATTAGATTCAACATAACACACTTGCAAACACGCCAACAAAACTGTTCATACACATAGATATGGCACATAAGTTTGATTTCTTGCACAAACAAGTTCCCATGATATTTGTCTACACATAACTTCATTCCTGGTATGATCCATGTAAACATCTGCGTGTGTATCCACGCATAGCCTTTGAAGCCCACCGTACGTTGAACAATCAATAACGTTCTTTTCATACACAGTCTGTCTGACACCGACATGTTTAATGCATTGAGGAACAGCAAACAGTACATGCAATCATACTATCAACGTCAATCCCTGTCTTACAGGAACATCGTCTTTGATTTAGAGAGGGGAAATTAATATCCGCATTGAGTGATGGTTTGTTTGCAGGCAACTGCTCTCTTGACAATACCAACTGAATAGTGCTTCCTTTAAGTCCAGATGCACTCGACGATAATGACATTGCGCCGATGTGTTCAGCAATAATAGTTGCTGAGTGTCATTAAAAAATGAATGAGCCAGTTGGATTTAACACCGCCTTTAATATTAGTTCAGTTACATCACAGCGGTTTACAGCTTGATGTGTGGGGGAAGCCTGCAGTGATGCAAATCTGATACCTTTACCACCCTCGTTAAATCCACATTGTTGTGACAAACTTAAACACATTATCAGAGCAAACAGGGACTCGAACCCACGATCAGGCTTCTGGCAGGCCACTGCACACCGCATCGGCCCACCCATGACCCCCTCATTCCAAAGAACATCGATGGTGGCTGGTAATCATCAACCAGATCCTTTCATACAATTTCAGAAACAAGGGTTTCTCCTTCATTTACAAAACCGTCTACATTTAGAACAGCGAAAGTTTGTCTGTCATCGGACAATGCATGTCCATGTTCTCAAATAAGAATGACCCTTGATGACATTTCATAAGTAGACATCAAAGGGCTTCCACAAAACCTACAAAAGGCAGTTCAAATTTTGAAGGAAAATCTTCTACTCGTTTTGATGGCATATAACTGTTCAGAACCGGTTGAAGAACTACAAGTATGAATGCCTCATTTGCTCCGACCTCACTGAAAGAATCGTTGCCGTCATATACGTTGCCAGTGAACGTCTCTTCGGCTCTGTGGTATTTATGCGTGTTAGCGCATTAGTTACGGCATCAGCGGGTCAAATAGAAACGCGCCAGGAAAACAGATGCTTCATTAAGCATTTCTATTCCGATGATTTCAGATTAATAGGAAGATTGATCTTACCCTAGGCCCGAGACTATGGGTAAAAAATGCCTCAGTCCCCTAAAATAGAGTGTCCGGTCATTTTCCAAAGCGTTTTACTTATTCTAAATCTCTTGTAAAATATTATATATTATGACACAGTGATGTTTCTTTTCACCATGCTGTGACACACATTCATGACATACGTCATTCGCACAGATGCTTCACTACTTCAGTGGCTGCTATGTTACAAGCAATGGTTTTATAACATCGTGTAGTCTTTAGGACAATCAATTACCCTGTATAAGTCAACAATGCAATTATACCTCTACAATCGTATGGACACAGTGGGTGTTGGTTCACGTTTCGTCATAACCATGCGATTGTAGCAACGGTAAAATAATGTACCATGTCTTTGTTATTAGATGAAATACAACGTCAAGGACGAAGCAACTGACATATACAATAACAGATATATTGGCATCTATGAACCGATGCGCTAAAACCAACAATAATAAGATATTATGAATACAGTCAATATAGTGAAATATTTTCTGTTTGTTTCATTATCAGCTTATATCGCATAGATTTAGCACTTACAAAGGATCAGCAAAATATAGAACATTACATCGACACATATGTGTGAAACACTGGACCTGGGATGCTGAAGATAGAAATAGGCGCATGTGTGTAGTATTGCCCACATAAGGCTGGAATATATATGCAATATATATTATGACATTAAATGGATTCTCTTCTTTCGTTTTACTTATTAAATGACGACTGACTGAAAACAGCATTTTGTTACACACTGACACAGACGTATACATCAGGAGTTCATTTCTACGTCAAATGAATGTTTAACCATAGATTTGTCATCATATACACAATCTCGATATCAGCATGACTACAACAAAGATACAACTAGAGCAGTTATCAGCAGCTGTTCAGCGCATACATCAAGTCAATAAATGCTCCCTACCTCACTTGCATTTTCAAGGTTGACGGTGTGTCCAGTTTCAGCCACGTAACCTATAATCCCTTTTCCCCATGGTATTCGTATATCTCCAGTGCTTGATGGCATGATATTTGTCCCAGAGTGAACGTCGAATATTTTTGACACAAGGTTGTGTCTTCCAGATGCTTTTCCCTCCACAAAGAAAAGGGAACATTTTTCCGCATCGACAAGTAAGCAAACATTTGCAACGATCTTGGAACTAAGACTCCTTAGATCGAGATCATTGGATATATCCTTGACAATTTCCAGAAAGAATTCCCGTTCGTTGGAGTGCCTTAATTCTCTTTTCAAATCTATGTCTTTGCTTGGATAGCGTGGTAATCTCACTTTGGACTGAATTAATAAACTGAGCATGTTTACAGAGTTTGGGGGAAGGGAACGGAACTGTCGCATTTCTTTCAAACTACTTCTTCTGGCTTCTGTTGCAGATTCAGGGCTTGACGTCGGTTCATAAGTTCTGAACATATTCCGCATCTTAGATCTGGCATAGTCATGCCGCAGGTGTTTCTTTGAGTTGGATCTGTGATGCCTAGAATCAAAGAATCCTGAATCTCCACACTTGAGATCTATAGGGGAACTTGGGCTGCTTCCTTCATTGGAGGCAGAGTTGTGTCTTGCAGGTAAGCTGTACTCCTGTAGGGCGCTAAATCCGTGCTGTACAAGCCATTTATTTACAAGGACGATGTCCGCTTTGCGAAGAAAGTACTCGCTCATGGCATCTGGATTGGAGTCCAGCCATTCCTCGATCACCGTTACGTGGTGTGTTGAGGACATGTTTATCTTTTCCAAGAACTGATCATGTCAACATTGTCCCACCTGAAATGAAGCCTGTTCCGCTACACCACATGGTCTACTACGATCCGTGGCCACGGATACAACTGTGGCCCAGTCGAGTTTATCAACTGAGCGTATTGAGAAAAATCAATAATAAAGCGTACGTCAGCGCCCATAGAAAGCAGTGAGAGTATAGCTGGACTCTACAGTAGGAACGACCTGCTGTTGATCTAAGGTTCCGCATGCAAGCCAGCGTAGTAACCTGACTATAATAATTGATAACAATCTGATGTGTTGGTTCGTTAATTTGGAGGTTAACTTACATCATCAGAGTTGGGCAGTCTATCAATAAAGATGTCGATTACCAAAACGTTTGCAATTTGTAGCGATTTGGTTGGTGTGTTTCGATTAATTTCTATACTTTAAAGATGCACACGCCTGTATTGGGTGGTCGACAGGTGTTCAGATTGATAGTTGAAATAATTGAACAAAAATCGATATCAACACAGTGTTTCTCACACATCACAGCTGCTGTTAACTTTATGAAGACATATGTGCGATAACGTAAACTACATATACAGAAACTTAAAAAACCTAAATAGGAAAGGAAATAAATGTGTTCCCCACACTGTATTAGATGTAGTGCTATTGGTAATTTCAATATATTATTTCTCATGATACATCATGGATAAATCCCCATTTCTTGACTTTTCAGTGTTTTCTGGAATAAAGACCAACTTCATAGACTACTAAACATCCGAATTCATGACTATAAAACTACAGAATAAAGACCCGAATGCATATAATAGCATCATACACTACCAACAAATACCTTGATATAGATGTGTATGCTCCATTAATAAAAACAACAGTGTCAGAATTTAAAGATAATCAATAGCCAAAGGGTGTCACCGTTCTGAATGTCTTGCCCTCTGTCCTGGAACCTACTTCATTGTGCTCATGGACCATTTGTGTCAGGAATTAGTCACGGGCACCCACACGAAATGAAAGCAAGATGATGTTATTACATGATGTATTGCCAATCGTGCAATGAGTATATATGGTTTTAGAAACTAATTAGTAAGTAATTGTTTTTGCTGGTGGCATGAAACATACAAATTTATTATACAATAAAATGTATTATGTACAATACCTTGCGTTTCAAGACGAAGTACATAAGTATGTTTATACATTATTATGTTTCATTGGTGTGTGAGCGCATTTGTAAGTGTTTGTGATGTTTATGTTTTTGCTTTATGAGTTTGGGTTTGAGTGTGTTCGTGTAGATGTGTATGTATGTATGTATGTATGTATGTATGTATGTATGTGTGTGTGTGTGTGTGTGTGTGTATGTATGTATGTATGTATGTATGTATGTATGTATGTATGTATGTATGTATGTATGTATGTATGTATGTATGTATGTATGTATGTATGTATGTATGTATGTATGTATGTATGTGTGTGTGTGTGTGTGTGTGTGTGTGTGTATGTATGTATGTATGTATGTATGTATGTGTGTGTATATATGTAATGGGTGTGTATGTATGTATGTATGTATGTATGTATGTATGTATGTATGTATGTATGTATGTATGTATGTATGTATGTATGTATGTATGTATGTATATATGTATGTATGTATGTTTGTATGTATGTATGTGTGCGTGTGTGTGGTATGCGTGTGTGTACATTTACGATCTGAAACAGCGCACCACGGTCAAATTGACAACCGTTTTCATAAAATGAGGTAGAACTATAACAATTTCTGCATAGACAGACAGGCCCGGTAAGGATATATTGACCTATGGTTGGTGTGCTGGAAGCTGCAGGATCAGATCAATAGACAGTACAGTCCCCCACACATTAGAGTAGTTATGAACAATATATCTCTCACATAAATGAAAATATTGCCAAGGATACCCTCTGGGGTTCCTTGGTCCTTCCTCCAAGTTAGAAGGTCACACAGCATGGCTTTAGTTTTTGCTCTTTTTCTCGCTGGGACATGAGGACTAAAATGTGAAATCGTCGTTAGTCTAAACTATGCATATTTTATGCTACATGTGCTGTACAAGTCTGTTTATCTGACGCCTATTAAATGAATATGGTTATTGACTTTATTAACATAAAATCATTGAAACAAACTGCATTTGATTTCTTTAAACATGAGAAACATGTGGCAGATGTGATACATACCGTAACGTATACCTGCAGTTGACGAAACATCAAACTACTTGGCATAATCTACTTGTTTGTTGTTGCACGCCAAGAAAGACATATTACGGCAATATGTAAATGACAGATGGAACAAGCAATCCAGGGGCTGATAATATTAACATTAGAACGAAGTTTAGAAATATTGTACACGTTATCTGGTACTTTATATTGTAAATATTCTAGACTACGTTCCGCCATCTTAAACCTGGTAAGGGTCACCTTGACAAAACTCAAATCGTATGCCCCGCGATATTTCGATTTTCAGTTCTCTCCAACATCTCCAAATACAAACCTATCCAAGCTGTTGCAGCGAGTGAGGTCAGATTTATTACTGTCACGCCCACATCGCTGTCAATAATATGAAACGATTGTAGCTGATCTCCCTGATAAAGCCTAAAATATATTATACTGACTGACTGACTGAGTTTGGTTTTACGCCGCTTTAGCAATATTCCAGCAACATCACGGCGGGGGACACCAGAAATGGGCTTCACACATTGTACCCATGTGGGGATTCGAACCCGGGTGTTCGGCGTGACGAGCGAACGCTTTGACCACTAGGCTACCCCACCGCCATAAAATGCATTATATATTATATGTATAAGCAGTATGTATAATTATGTTCCCATGATTTTCCAAGGGCCGAGTGATTTTGCTGAGGAAGGGTACGTTCACAAATACTGTTGGCTTGTGATCTCTGAACACATACTCATGGCCTTTAACAGACGTGTCATAATAAAGAAACAGCCATCAACATCACGTAATGGTCCTGCTAGTTACAAAATTGACGATTTCAGATTGTTTTGTTGTGTCATTCCATGGATTCCGAACATACCAATTACATGTCTTCAAGTCTGTAAAGAATGCAATGTTTCTGTCTCTTTTTATTTGATGTTGGTTTGCGCAGTTTCTTGTCAAGCCGAGTACTTTGTTTTTGACCCTGCTGCGAGAAGCTGAGGATTATGTCCAGTATCCAATAGCAAAAATAGATTGAAAAATGTCGGCTCCACGCCCACTGTGATCTCTTTTCATATCGGATTTTCTAACAGCACAGGATTAGGAGATTAGGCTGTACCGCCAGCAGAAAGTGATCATTGAAAAAGTACTTTTAACAACATATACAGATGTAACTCATTAAACAGGAATCCATCAGGCGATTATTTGTGTATGAATATCTTTGAATATATTAATACTTTCATGAATGCAGTATATATATACTAGCCACATAAAGAAACTGTGCATTGTCAAAATATGATCCCAGTTGATAAGTACGATAACAATGTCAAAGGTACATATAAACTTTAATGGAGGGATCATGAGACCATAACAAGTCGGGAGAATTTCAATTGAAAAGTCAATCACAATGACGTGACGAGTCCACAAGCGGGACAGGGGTCAAACGACCATGTCACAAGCTCAATAACGGGTATGTCCACCATCGGCATTGAGAACAGCAGTGCATCGACGACGCATAGAGCCTATCAAACGTGCAAGGAAGGCTTGTGGGATGTCACGCCAGATTCTCTCAAGTTCTGTTGCAAGGTCAAGGACGTTATCTGGCGGATGAGGAAGACGGCGTAGACGTCGATCCATCTCGTCCCAAACATGCTCTATCGGGGAGAGATCCGGTGAATTTGCAGGCCAAGGCAGTAAGTCAACGTTGTTGTGTTGCAAGAAATCCATAGCAACCTTTGCCGTATGAGGGCGGGCATTGTCCTGTTGGAATGTTAACCCAGGGCCATGACGTTGCAGAAAAGGAATTGCCACAGGTCGAAGAATCTGATCCCTGTAGCCCACACCAGTTAAGTTGCCCTGAACAATCACCAAAGGAGTTCTTTGGCGTGCTGTTATTCCAACCCAAATCATCACGGAACCACCACCAAAGCGATTCCTCTCCAAGACACAGGCCTGTGCATAACGTTCTCCAACGCGTCTATAGGCACGTTGACGTCCATCACTATGGGAAATGTTAAACCTGGACTCATCTGTAAAAACAACATTTTCCACCAAAACAAGGGTCTGCGGACATGATTTCGGCACCACATTCGGCGAGCTTGTCGATGACGTTGTGTCAGGATAGGCCGTAGGGCGGGACGTCGTGGTCTGATCCCGTGATGAGTGAGTGAGTGAGTTTAGTTTTACGCCGCACTCAGCAATATTCCAGCTATATGGCGGCGGTCTGTAAATAATCGAGTCTGGACCAGACAATCCAGTGATCAACAGCATGAGCATCGATCTGCGCAACTGGGAACCGATGACATGTGTCAACCAAGTCAGCGAAACTGACCACCCGATCCCGTTAGTCGCCTCTTACGACAAGATAGTCGCCTTTTTATGGCAAGCACATGGGTTGCTGAAGACCTATTCTACCCCGGATCTTCACGGGTCGATCCCGTGATGACGTAAACGTTGTCGAACTGTGTTGCGGTGGATACGGCGAAGTCCTGGGATGGTTGGGGCAGTCACCACTGCAGTCTGAAACCTGTCGCGAAGATGGGTCACCCTTATCCATCTGTTCTGTCTTGGCGTTGTTACACGTGGACGTCCAGAACGTGGCCGATCGATGACGTCATTTGTGTTCTGGTAGCGTCTCACCAGTGCAGAAATGGTGTTCCGGTGGCAGTGGAAATGTGCAGCCACTTGTCGTTGAGACATTCCCCACGGACCATCCCAATGGTCTCATGACGTTGTGCAGACGTGAGCCTTGGCATGCTATGCGTTTCAGTAGCCGTTTAATATTTTTAACTATCGCAAGGGCAGGGGTTGAGCTTTCCAAAGTGACAGTATTGTGTGGCATTCATTTGCTCTGTTTCTCTTTCCCGGAATGCACGTGCAACAACGTATTGCATGTCTCAAGGACGAACCCACTGACGTCACGGAACGTGGCACGTGCATGC